CAAGAATGGATGAAAAGACTTATGCTGGCAGGACTATTCCCAAAGACTCAGTGAGGAGACTTAGGCTGACAGGACTATTCCCAAATACTCGATGAAAAGGCTTAGGGTGACATAGACTATTCCCCAAGAATGGATGAAAAGACTTATGCTGGCAGGACTATTCCCAAAGACTCAGTGAGGAGACTTAGGCTGACAGGANAGGGTGACATAGACTATTCCCCAAGAATGGATGAAAAGACTTATGCTGGCAGGACTATTCCCAAAGACTCAGTGAGGAGACTTAGGCTGACAGGATGATTCCCAAAGACTCGATGAAAAGACTCAATGCTTGCAGGACTATTCCCACAGACTCAATGAGACAGGACTATTCCCAAAGACTCAGTGAGAAGGCTTAGGCTGACAGGACTATTCCCAAAGACCACCCTCGACGTGGTGTTTTCAACAAAAAAAAAAAGAAAAAGAAAAAGAAAAAGGGAGACAGGACTATTCCCCAAGACTCCCATGAAAAGGCCTAGGATGTCAGAACTATTCCCAAAGACTCAGTGAGAAGACTTGGGCTGACAAGACTATTCCCAAAGAGTAGATGAAAAGACTGAAGGTGGCAGGACTATTCCCAAAGACTCGATGAGACAAAACTATTCCCGAAGACTTAGTGAGAAGAATTAGAGTGACAGGAATATTCCCAAAGACCACCCTCCTTGTCGTGTTTTCAACAGAAAAAGAAAAAGAAAAAGAAAAAGAAAAAGAAAAAGAAAAAGGACTATTCCCCAAGACTCGATGAAAAGACTAGGGCTGACAAGACTATTCCCAAGGACTCGACGAAAAGACTAGGGCTGACAAGACTATTCCCAAAAACTCGATGGAAAAGACTTACGCTGGCAGGACTATTCCCAAAGAGTAAAGAGTACTAAAGACTCAATGAGAAGACTTAGGCTGACAGGACTATTCCCAGAGACCCACACACACACGCAAAAACAACCAGCAGAAACAGATAAGAACTATTAAGAAGAAGAAAAAAAAAAAAAAAAGAAAAAAAAAAAAAGAAGAACTATTAAGAAGGCTGACAAGACTATTCTCGGAGACCCACGCGCACACAAAACAAGTAGACATACAACGCGAAAGAAAGTGCACGAATAGTGGCAGAGACTGTTTAGTTAAACTTGCACTGACTGATCAGGAGGCTGAATCCCCCCCCTCCCCCCACAACACTCTGCGGAATCCCCTCACAATGCCCTTTTTTAGCATAACCAAGCTTCAAACCAAGCTGTAGCGGATGGGCGAACACGCAGACACACAGGAAGACATGCAAGGCAACATAGACAAGGAACAGCAAACAGAATGGCAGCGCGGTACAGAATGGAACGAGCATATCATCATAGCGTAAATTTGCTGCGATTGCATGCCTAGACGGCGCAGGTGACACACAATAGCAGCAAGGCAGCCGCGCAACAGGGCAACAAGGGATAGATGCAGGGCAAGTGGTACGCTAGGGAAGGAAGGCAGGGCGAGCGGCCAAGGCAACGCAAGGCAAGAGAACAAGGCAAAAGGCAAGCGGGCAAGGCAGGGCCATGGGATATGTAGAGAGAAGCGTAATCAAGAGCGACACTGTTGCAATCTTTTGACTTGCCGGTGGCAAAGGGACCGGAGTGACGCTCGCCAGAAAATGGATATGGTGCCAGAAGGCCCCAGAACCAGGCTAGGTAAGCAGCTACGCAGCTCAGTGCAGCAAGAAGGGAACAGGGAACTGAAAGGAGAGGCACGCGGGCGAGGGGGGGGGGGGGGGGGGGGGGGGGGGGGGGGGGGGGGCATCAACATAGCAAGACACAGAGTGACACAGCAACCCGAGAGCACAGCAAGGAGAACAAAGTGGACTCTGACTATCACCCGCTCATACCTACGGAAAGCCCAACAGACTGTTGGTTCATATCCCATGAAGAGCGAGCAAGTCACTCGTTGAATTTCCATCACCAGCGAAAAACGCAGAGACACAGGCATGCAACACACCACCGCCCCCTCATAGTCCCAGAGGCGCTCTCCTCAAGCGGCAATCTCCTATTTGGCACAACTCAGAGCTAGTCAACTTTGCTACTTCGAAGAAGTAGCAAAAAGAAAACACGGGAAAGGCCCGTGTTCCCACATAGCGAGTGGACAATGACATAGATAAAGACTTTAAATTAGCCTTTTAGGAGAAAAAAGAAGAAAAAGAATAGCGCAAGGCAGAACGAGTACAGGAGCTGGGGCTGGCCCACATTTTATAGTGTTGACTGGGCCTCGCCTGCCTCAGGTTGCCTGCCTCCTCAGATGGGTGGGATTTCTCTCTCTCTCTCTCTCTCTCTCTCTCTCTCTCTCTCTCTCTCTCTCTCTCTCTCTCTCTCTCTCTTTTTCTTTTTTTCTTTTTTTTCAAATGGAACAATGCTCCAATCTATTCGTAAGGAGCAACACCTGCTGGGACCCGGGGCCAGCGTCCCATTTGAAACCATATTTGAGATAATAGCAATTACACCTTTCCTAAGGGTCATGAGCAATCACTAGCCTATTCAATCTGAACGGCTAAGAAGTGTTGTGATCAGTGTATGCCTTTTTTTTTTTTTTTAATTTCAATTTTTTTAATTATACAAAGCCGGGAACCGGGCCCGGCGTCCCTCACAAAAGACCCGGTGAGCTCTGGGAGCTTCTGGAAACTGCACCAAGCCTTTGGATTGTGCGTGATCTGTGGCCGTGGTTGACTTCTGAAATGTCTTTGACTCTTTGATTTCTGTGCCTAGGTTGCGCCTGACTGGTGATTTTCCTAGGGCCTCCTTTGCGTGGCTTGTAGAGGCCCCGGGCACCTCAATTTGACCCTTCACCCCATCAGGCCTACCAACCTAAGGAATTCTGGAGAGTTTTTTTTTTCTTTTTTTTTCTTTTTTTTGCGGCAACACACCCCCCTCTGAATTCTGGGGGGGCAACTTCGTCGGCGGCAAGCATAAGGAAAGAGTAGAAAATCAAAGGCTGCAGGACCTACTCTTGACCCCCTGAATCTCCGCTTTGTCAAAAGGTACAAAACTTCGACTTGTTGCCGTGCTTTCGGTTCTACCCCATTGTCTGACTCAATAGGGGTCTTCCGGAGACCGCATTCCAGAGTTTTTTTTTTTTACTGAGGCGTGGACTGGACCATATTCGATGGACCGAGGGGCATTTTTAAGAACTCTGGGACTTTTTTTTTTTGGACCCTAGTACGAAACTGTTTCTCATGACCACCAGTACCTCGCTCAGCTATCAAGTCTGAGGCTCAGACTACCGGTAGCCCGATCATTCCCCAGCCTCGGACTTTATTGCCGAGCCTTGGACAACTGGTAGTACATCACAGGAAAAAAAAAAACAAAACCACATACAAGTTGATACAACATTCAGCAAAAAAAAAAGGAAAAAAAAAGAAAGGAAATCAGACGTGCCCAACGAGAATGAATCTTCCTCGATAAAGAGGAGATTCATTCTCGTGAGAGGCTCACTCACACACAGAGAGAGAGAGAGAGAGAGAGAGAGAGAGAGAGAGAGAGAGAGAGAGAGAGAGAGAGAGAGAGAGAGGGAGGGCGTCAGGGAGTTTCTGATGCCGAGTTTCGTGGACCAAACTAGGCATCAGAAACTCCCTGACGCCCTCTGTGTGTGTGTGTGTGTGTGTGTGTGTGTGTGTGTCAACGTGCAAATGCAATTATGGCGGAAGACTCATTGGCATTTGAACGTTGACACAGAGAGAGAGAGAGAGAGAGAGAGAGAGAGAGAGAGAGAGAGAGAGAGAGAGAGAGAGAGAGAGAGAGAGGGCATCAGGCAGTTTCTGACGCCGAGTTTGGTCCTCTCTCTCTCCTGTCTCTTATACACATCTAGATGTGTATAAGAGACAGGAACTGCACGTACCTTGTGGCATACAGGCTCCGGGCCTAGCAGCCTATAGCACCAGCCCAGTTTTTTGGCCATGTTGAGGGGGGGAATAGCTACTGGAGGACAAAAAGACTAATGTGGGGCAGGACTATTCCCAAAGACTCAGTGAGAAGTCTCTCTCTCTCTCTCTCTCACACACACACAC